GAGTGGAGAAGCCCGAATGGGACTTCTGGCACCGGATTTTATAGACAGGCTTGAGGCGGTGTGTGATTTACATAGGGCCCATCGATTGGATCAGGTGTGACCTTTATATAATGCACAGGGAAACTGGCTGCCCCACTCTAATCTTATTGTGTAAATGGGGTCTTTGCCTGGCTGTTTCTTACTGTACATGTGGCTGGCATAGAGAAGGGAAGATGGAGCCACCATTTTGAACATTCCTAGTCGCAGGGAGCCTTTTCCTATTGGCACAGCTACCAGCATTCATCCATGCAAGCTTCCAGTTTGCTTGTCTATATTTGCAGCTCAATTTTACAGGCCGCTCTTTGTTAGAAAAGCAAATGTTTTACAGGTTGCTTTTCATTAAAAGGAAAACCTTACAGGATGTCATTACCCTCATTATTTGCCTAAGTAATTCCTTTTTAACTCCTATATCACTGTGTTGCCCAGGCTGGTCTTGAACTCCTGGGTGCAAGCAATCCTCCTAACATGGCCTCCCAAAGTGCTGAGATTACAGATGAGCCGCTGCACCCAGCCTAATAACACAAGAATGCCTTTTATCATTATCATTATTATTATTATTTTGAGACAGGGATTTGCTGTGGCACCCAGACTGGAGTGCAGTGGCTCAATCTCAGCCCACTGCAGCTTTGACCTCCTGAGCTCAAGTGATCCTACCACCTCAGCCAGTTCAATGATAGGGTTGCTTCAGAACAGAAAGCAAAGTTGAGAGCTGGAGGTGGAGGACCCTCAAGACATAAAAGGGTGCCAGAACTCTGTAGCTCCTGCACTTCCTGAGACTTACTTCTCAACTCTCTGTTCTTTGGGAGAGGGTGAAATATAGTTTCAGGGGACACGCCTTACATTGAATTCCAAATTTGGTGCTAGTGTATAGTAAGAGGAATTAGGCCTACCTACCATTCAAGACTTAGTGTCAAATTATATTGTTTCCCTGCTAAGAGCTACCTGGGGAAATACAAGAGGGAATGGAAAGGAAAGGAGTACGTAGAAGAATAGAGTATTCCAGGGAGGCTGAGCTACTGGGAGATGGGGACCTAGTTCTTGCTGTTAATCCATTAACTTCTCTTTCTTTCTTTTCCTGATTTTAGTTAGCCTTCTTTCTAGGAATTTTGTTAATACTGAGGATTCCGTTTTATTTTTTATTTTCACTCTTGCCATTTCCCACTGCTATCTTTGTGAAAAAGAGCTTCCTAGAGTCACATCTTAATCTATATTAAAGTCCTTCTCTTTTTCTTTTTTCATTTTTGCCTTTAGCCTCTTCCTTTTCATTGATGAGTAAACTTTTAGTTTCTATCAAGTGAGATAGATAGTAGAATAATTGAGCTAAAATGTATCAGAATAGCGATAAAAATTTGCATATAAGGACACATCCCAACAAAGCCCTAACTGAAATCTGTTTTGGTACATCATTAAAAACCACTTTTGGGGTGCTGAGCCCATAGTAGATACTGAACAAGGCCTTGATTGGTTGAGATTAGCAGGACAATGGGACAACGTCTTTCATCATGTTGCTTCATGTCTAATGCCAGAATGTTATTTGAATTTTTTTTTTTTTAAAGAGGGGGGTTTCACCGTGTTCGCCAAGCTGGTCTCAAACTGCCGGCCTCAAGTGATCCACCCACCTCGGCCTCCCAAAGTGCTGGGATTACAGGCGTGAGCCACCGCTCCTGGCCTATTTGAATTATATTTACTTTACCAAATGATAATTTATGACATGTAATAATAGTGTGGAAGAAAAATAAAAATCTCAGGACTCCAAACTCATTATGCCAAAGGAAAAGGTCAAGCTTCAGAACTAGGTCACACTAAACTCCTTTCTATTTTGTTCCTAGATAGCTACAAAGAGAAAAGGCTACATATTTCCCTCAAAATTTACTCAAAAGGAAATTATTTTTTCTTTTTTCTTTTTTTTTGGATGGAGTCTTGCTCTGTCCCCTGGGCTGGAGTGCAGTGGCGTAATCTCGATGCACTGCAACCTCCGACTCCTGGGTTCAAGCAAATCTCTTGCCTCAGCCTCCCAAGTAGCTGGGACTACAGGTACCCACCACCACACCCAGCTAATTTTTGTATTTTCAGTAGAGACAGGGTTTCACCGTATTGCCCAGGCTGGTCTCAAACTTCTGACCTCATGATCTGCACGCCTCAGCTTCCCAAAGTGCTGGGATTACAGGTGTATGCCGGGCCATCAAAAGGAAATTGTTTTTTGGGTCCCAAGATCTTTACCCTAAAACAGCTTCATTGAATGTCACCCTGACAATGTAAATTAACAGCTTCTCATCACAGGCATAGGAAAAAGTCATCCCTCTGCTCACCTGAGACAGATGCATATTTGACTGCTTCCTCTACTCTGTTTATCATATGTAAAAATGCAGATCCATCAGCATGAGATGAATGCATAACTGACTATTCCTCTATCCCCTCCTTTTCCATGTAAAATGTGGATTCAGTGAATGCTGATCAAAGACTCAAAATATACAACCGTTTGGCCCTTTTATTCCTTCCTCTTTTTTTCTCCCTCTTTTTACCTTCCTCTTTCCCCTACTATTTGCTCTTTCCCCTTTAAATATTGCAATCTCAGGCCTGATGCACTGGCTCATGCTTGTACTTCCAGCACTTTGGGAGGCTGAGGCCAGTGGATCCAGCCTGGGTGACACAGTCAGACTTGGTCTCAAATAAATAAATAAATATTGAAATCTCACACCTTATTTGGAAAAAGAATGGGTCGTAGATGTTTTTTGTGGTTTTGTGCTCCTTTTCTCCAGGCACATCCACAATCTTGGCAAAATAAACCTCTAAAATGATTGAGACTCACTTTGGTCACTTAATTTGATTTACATTTTCTTTGATTTACAGTTCTTTGATTTATAAGAAATTCACATTGCTTCTTTTAAAAATTATTAAAAATGAAAATATTCCCAAGTTGAAAACATATCACTATCTATCATCTATCTATCTATCAATGTCCTATTTCAAGGCAGCTAGACTTATTTAAGGGAACTGAATAATTCAAAAAAAAGTGGCAAATCTTTTTATTTTTGAGAAAGAGTCTCACTCTGTCACACAAGCTGGAGTACAGTGACACAGTCTTGACTCACTGCAACCTCTGTCTTCTGTGTTTATGTGCTTCTTGTGCCTCAGCCTCCCGAGTAGCTGGGATTACAGGCACATGTCACCACACATGGCTAATTTTTGTATTTTTAGTAAAGACAGAGTTTCACCATGTTGCCCAGCCTGGTCTGGAGCTCCTGGCCTGAAGTGATCCACCCAACTTGGTTGCCCAAAGTGGTAAGATGACAGGTGTGAGCCACAGCACCAGGTCAGATAGCCATCTTTAATATTGTGCTCAATCTCTTTCCAGTCCTCTCTCTCTCTCCCGTGTGTGTGTGTGTGTGTGTGTGTGTTAAATTTCATGCAGGGGAATTAGTCTTTGCCAATAAGAATTTTGAAAGATAGAAGTAAAAAAACTCTATTAAGAACTGCAAAATAAGCCAACTAATTTAAATGCACATTGTTAGTAAACTGTAAACAAATATCTTGTGAAACTGTTAGGATTTTCATTTTCACAGTAAATTTACTATTAGTTTATTTAAAAAATAATTAATTTTTTTTTTAAGACAAAGTCTTGCTCTTGTCCCCCAGGCTGGAGTACAATAGCACAATCTCAGCTCACTGCAACCTCCACCTTCCAGGTTCAAGTGATTCTCCTGCCTCAGCCTCCCAAGTAGCTGGGACTATAGGCACCTGCCACCACGCCTGGCTAATTTTTGTATTTTTAGTAGAGATGGGGATTTCACCATGTTGGCCAGGCTGGTCTCGAACTCCTGACCTCAGGTGATGTGCCTACCTCAGCTTCCCAAAGTGCTGGGATTATAGGCATGAGCCACTGCGCCCAGCCAAAAAAATAAAGCAAAGCCTTTGGGGTCTATGTTGTTTTAATAGATGTATTTAAATAAAATTAATAAGATTTGGATGGCCAAAACATTCAGAAGCAAATGTTATAAGAAAATCACTAGATCATCTATATTACACCTTGTGGTGTGACCCAGCATTAGATAATGCACAGAGAAGTCCAGGGATCCACTTTTCACATACGTGCTCTATAGGACTGGCATTGGCAAATGAAAACCACAGTGTAGCATCCATCCAGACTCTTCAGAGATGATGCCCAATTGTGTCATTTTCAAAATAACACAGAGGCGTCCCTCTGTTAAACTATTAAGCAAAGGGGCAACATGCTGGAAACATACTCAGCCCCTCAATCTCTTGTTAGTATGAATGCGTATTAGCACTTGACAAATATTGAATGAATGAATGAATGAATGAATGAACAAGTGACGTGAAATCTCTACAAAAGATATACATGTCCATGGAGAAAAATTCTGAGTGTCTCTTTGCTGTTCTATTCAGTGCTTGACAGAGTGGGTTGAAAATAGATTAAAACTGATTCATACCAAAGCCTAGTTCCCACTTCAATCCTTTTACGAAAAACCCGGCTTTCTCTGGAGTTGAGCTGCTACTGGTAACAAATTTCTCAGAAACCTAGCTGGCACTGGCACTCTATATATAAACAGAATGTGTCAACAAAACATTTTAATTCCAGCTCTAAAGTTTACTCCATCCATTCATTTGTTCATCTGTTTAATAAACA